GGAAGTTGGCATTCTTGGGACAGTCTTAGGGTTATCCCAGGGGGCACCAGCAGTTTGGGTGGTGGAAATGCACATCGTCAAATGGCTAGCCGGGCAAAGGATATCTGTGGTTCAGAGCATAGGAAGAAGGCATCACATCACCCAGTAACTGTAGAGGATATACTTGTTTGCAATATACCCTCTAAGAACTTCCAGAAATAACTGAGTGAGACTTGAGTGGGGTACTTGAGACTCCCAAACCTGAAGATGTCAGATAAATTCAGCAAAATATGTGTTATCACCATCAATGTGCCCCCCTTTCAACCCACAGGCCAGGGGAACCTGAGCAAATCAGGTTCACGGCATTAGGCTCACTTTAAAAAATGAAAAAGAGAAAGAATAAAATAACCTACTAAACTATAAATGGAATTACATGTGAGGCTTTTATTCTTTCAAAGTCTTCTCTATAGCTCTCAAGATATTTATGAAATATCATCTGCTAAAAGAAGTAGTTTATAATTTAGCTTAAGATTTTTCTTTTAATTCAGCAAAGTAGAATGGGACAAACTTATATTCCAGGACTACAGGTCCGAAAGTCATAAAATTACGAAATTATAAAGTCAGCCAGGTGCAGTGGCTCATACCTGTAATCCCAATGCATTGAGACATTGAGGCAGGAGGATCGCTTGAGGCTAGGAGTTCTAGGCCGGCCTAGGCAACATAGTGAGCGCTCATCTCTACAGAAAATTTTTAAAAACCAGCCAGACGTGGTGGCACGGGCCTGTGCTCCTAAGTCCCAGCCACTCAGGAGGCTGAGGTAGGAGGATCACTTGAGCTCAAGAGTTCAAGGTTACAGTGAGCAATGATCGTATCACTGTACTCCAGACTAGGCAACAGAGCAGGAACCTAACTCAAAAAAAAAAAAAAAAATCATGGGGTCTCTGGTTACAGAGAGCTCTTGCACATTTTCCTTTACCTCATTTTGGAAAGCAGTAGACAGGCATTTTTGTAAGCTTACTTTTCGTTCCACATTTTACATTATATTGCTTGACCCAATTGCCAAATGACACATTTTGCACAGCCTGGTTGGGATTAACCCAACTGAACATATAGTAAATCAATTCACCCATGGAATGGATGTCAACAGAGCCATAAAGAGAAACTTTATCTCTACAGAAAACTTTGAACTAAATTCAACTTGACATTTACATATCCTTCATGCTCTTCAAGTGCTTTTTTATTCTTATTAGTAATGAGACAATGAGTTTTTAATTTGAGCTGATTCATTATAAAAATCTTTTAAAACGTCTTAACTATGTTTATTATTTTTTATTTTTTTGTTTGTTTGTTTTCTTTTTAGGATGGCGTTTCACTCTTGTTGGCCCGGGCTGAGGGTGGGCAATGGGCATCTGGCTCACGCAACCTCCGCCCTTCATGGGTTGAAGTGATCTCTGCCTCACATGGCCCGAGTAGGCTGGGATTACCAGCAACGGCACCACCAATGCCTGGCTAATTTGTATTTTTAGTAGAGATGAGTTTCTCCATCTTGGCTCAGGCTGGTTCTTCGAACTCTGACCTCACGGAGTATCCGCCACCTTAGCCTCCCAATGGCTGGGATTACAGCGTGAGCCCACAGCAACTGGCGCAACTATGTTTTAGGTTCTTATAACAGCCTAGAGACATGAAATGCAGACCATTAGTTCACTGGAGCATTAAATTGGATTATGTTTTTCAAAATAACTTTCACGTAAGATGGAAATCCAGGATAACTTGGTATATGATAAGAATGGTCCACAGCATTCACAAAACCTTATGAGAAGGATACTGTGTTTATCCTAGTCAGTGACGAAGAACGGAGCTTGACGAGGCTTATGTAACCAACTTGCCAAGGGACCACAACTTGTGAGTGTTAGGGGGCAGGATTTAATGGCAACTTTGACTACGAGGGTCACATGCATGATCAGGACACTTCTGCAACCTCCAGCTTTCTTTACCTCCTTTTCTTTAGGCGTAGCATGTGTGTCTTGGGCTGGTTTTGGTTACAACTTTCTGGACTCATCTATAGGTTGATCTTGGTCTTACCTAGGCCCCCTAGAAAGTTCATAACTGGGCAGCCGGTGCAGTGGCCAATGCCTGTAATGCCAGGATTTTTGGAGAGGCCAGGCAGGAGATTGGCTTCAAGCCTAGGTGTTTCAAAATGAAGCCTGTAACATGCCCAAGATCCCATCTTATTTTTTTTTAAAGAAAGTTAATGTTTAGCCTTGGTTATGTGGTCCACATTTGAAAACGGTGAGGACAATGGGCTGGAGTCCTTAAATGGCACCACACATCTTGTTGAATTCTCTGGCACTTCAGCTGGAAAACACACAGGCAATAAATATAGGCAGGATGAGAGTGGACGAATACTAACCAGTGTTGATTACCTAGTAAGTACTAAACACTATGCTAAGTGTTTTAAATGCATTACCTCATTTATCTTTATAACAACACAAGGGCTAAAGTAGGCCAAAAGGTCAATCAAAACCATTTCTAGGGTTAAAGAACAAAGGTAATGAAAGACATTAGAAGGCTTCAGCAGCATAAGAGGAATGAGGATAAGAAAAATGGCACTAAGGAAGAGCCTTGAAAAAGTAGACTTAATTTTTTTCTTAGTTTATATTTTGAACAAATATTACAACAATGGGTCTGGGTGCGGTGGCTCACGTCTGTAATCTCAGCACTTTGGGAGGCTGAGGTGGGTGGATCACGAGGTCAGGAGATCGAGACTATCCTGGCTAACAAGGTGAAACCCCATCTGTACTAAAAATACAAAAATTAGCTGGGCCTGGTGACATGTGCCTGTAGTCCCAGCTACTCGGGAGACTGAGGCAGGAGAATCACTTGAACCTGGGAGGCAGAGGTTGCAGTGAGCCAAGATCGTGCCACTGCACTTCAGCCTGGGGGAGAGAGTGAGACTCTCCAAAAAAAAAAAAAGAAAAGAAAAAAAGAAACAAACAAACACAACACATCTCTTAAGACGCTTTGCTGCTAGGATATAGACATTTGACTATCTTCCAACAAATCCAAACCTAAGTAAGACTTGAAATATAGGTGACAGGCTGCAGACGCACAATTCTAGTAAGTCTGGACACAACGGTGCCTGGCTTTCTGCACGAACTGTAATGAGGGTGCTGGTAGTCAGTCCCGGTTTTATAGATGTTAAGCATCATCTGGCAGCAACAGCAGGATTTCTGCTACAAGAGTCTTAGGATATTTGGGACATGTGTGCATGTGTGGGATGCTTGGACATTCCTCCTGGCTGCTTCACTTCTGGCTGTGTAATATCCAGGTTTTGTTTCTCAGCTCTCCTAGAAATCCTAAGTAATACCATGTAATAAATTCTGCTGAAACTAACTATACTGGATTGTTTTCCTGAAAGAGATCCCAAGGTATTGGGAATCTGGAATTGACTAGGTGACTTGGTTGGATTTGAAAGTAGTAAGGATAGAATACAGGAAAAACATGACATCTGGTGGCCAGGAAGTCACTAAAACTATTGTTAGAGAAGTTAGCACGACACTATTCCTGCCTCTGTTTGTTTTTATTTTTATTTTTTTAAGACTGAGTCTTGCTCTGTCACCCAGGCTGAAGTGCAGTGGTATGATCTAGGCTCACTGCAACCCCCACCTCCTGGGTTCAAGCAATTCTCGTGCCTCAGCCTCCCAAGTAGCTGGGATTACAGGAGTGTGCCACCACGCCTGGCTAACTTTTGTATTTTTAGTAGAGATGGGTTTCACCATGTTGGACAGGGTGGTCTCAAACTCCTGACCTCAGGTGATCTGCTCGCCTCAGTCTCCCAAAGTGCTGGGATTACAGGCGAGAGCCACTGTGACCGGCCGCTGCCTCAGATTAGATCGAGGCATTAACAGATTAAATCTCAGGATGCCAAAATTAGATTGAGAACAACCACCACACCCCTTCCCCACCACCTACCTCACCCCTGCCCTGCAGGATTTAGAACAGAAGTGAAGGAGACCCTTGTCCACATCTCCCAGTATCTCTTAAGACGCTTTGCTGCTAGGATATAGACATTTGACTATCTTCCAACAAATCCAAACCTAAGTAAGACTTGAAATATAGGTGACAGGCTGTAGACGCACAATTCTAGTAAGTCTGGACACAACGGTGCCTGGCTTTCTGCACGAACTGTAATGAGGGTGCTGGTAGTCAGTCCCGGTTTTATAGATGTTAAGCATCATCTGGCAGCAACAGCAGGATTTCTGCTACAAGAGTCTTAGGATATTTGGGACATGTGTGCATGTGTGGGATGCTTGGACATTCCTCCTGGCTGCTTCACTTCTGGCTGTGTAATATCCAGGTTTTGTTTCTCAGCTCTCCTAGAAATCCTAAGTAATACCATGTAATAAATTCTGCTGAAACTAACTATACTGGATTGTTTTCCTGAAAGAGATCCCAAGGTATTGGGAATCTGGAATTGACTAGGTGACTTGGTTGGATTTGAAAGTAGTAAGGATAGAATACAGGAAAAACATGACATCTGGTGGCCAGGAAGTCACTAAAACTGTTGTTAGAGAAGTTAGCACGACACTATTCCTGCCTCTGTTTGTTTTTATTTTTATTTTTTTAAGACTGAGTCTTGCTCTGTCACCCAGGCTGAAGTGCAGTGGTATGATCTAGGCTCACTGCAACCCCCACCTCCTGGGTTCAAGCAATTCTCGTGCCTCAGCCTCCCAAGTAGCTGGGATTACAGGAGTGTGCCACCACGCCTGGCTAACTTTTGTATTTTTAGTAGAGATGGGTTTCACCATGTTGGACAGGGTGGTCTCAAACTCCTGACCTCAGGTGATCTGCTCGCCTCAGTCTCCCAAAGTGCTGGGATTACAGGCGAGAGCCACTGTGACCGGCCGCTGCCTCAGATTAGATCGAGGCATTAACAGATTAAATCTCAGGATGCCAAAATTAGATTGAGAACAACCACCACACCCCTTCCCCACCACCTACCTCACCCCTGCCCTGCAGGATTTAGAACAGAAGTGAAGGAGACCCTTGTCCACATCTCCCAGTGCTCTCGATGAAATCAAAGATACGAAAGGGGTCAGTGGGAAGATTTAGTAGAAGATGGTTGAGGAGATTGTTTTGAAGAGGCTTTTGCTCTGCTGTGGGCCCTCTCCCCTTAGGATGAGAGGCAGAGGCTCTATCTCCCAACCCTAAGCCTAGTGAGAAGGTTTTTAGTTGTCTACTGGGAGAGCTCGGAAACGTGTGCCTTGCAGTTGGAAGACACAGAAGACTGGGCTGGCCTGACTAAAGAGCAAGAAACTGAGAGCGCGCTGCGAACTGAAGTCCAACTCCACCAAGAAAATTCAGAATGTTTGCCTCCATTACAGAGCGGGCTACATGCTTTGGAGATGGAAGAACAAGCACGGCTTCTGTACTGGGATCGGTGGGCACTCCTGGAGTCTACTGAGGCAAAGGACGAAGGAGACTTCCTAAGACCATATGGGGGTAACACAAGACAAAGTTTGGGTCCTGTCTACCAGGTCCTCTGAGACGGACCTCCGCAGTAAGCAGCTGAGCGTGTTCAACTGGATATCCAGAGGCTGAGGAAGGAGTTGAAAGAGATGAGTTGGAATAGAGATACATCCACTTGAGTCAAGGGAACTGCAGGAGAGGGGGCCTGCAGGGAGCCTCTCCAACATTCCTATTCAAGGGGCAGAAGAGAAAGAATCAGCTTGAGCCATCGTCCAGGCCCCCTGGGGGTTACCAGCTTTACTCATCTGAAGCCCCAGAGAGCACGAAGCCACCAGATCAAGTAGTGACTCACTTACCCCTTTTTCCTCTCATCTCTACCCTACCTTCAACCCTGGAAGAGAAAGAAAATGACAGTTAGTGGGTAGAGGTGAGGGTTAGCAGGGAAGAGAAGCCATAGAAGCCGTCAGAAGTTTCCTTCAGCGCTAGAGGAAGGCCATGTTCTCTTTCTCTAACCCCTGAATAAAGTTTAAAGAGTTGGTGAGAAACAAATATAAAATCACATTTTGATTATATCATGAGTTGTGTTCATAGATGTCCACGTCACCCAGTGGCAGAACACCAAAGTTATCACCTCTCGTGACACAGAATGAAGTGCCTGTTGAAAGCAAGGCCCTGGGGGCTGCAGAGCAGGGATTATAAAGGCCACGAGGTGAGCAGTTCCATCTAACTGCATGACGAAGTTTAAAGGGAAGAAATGACATTTTCAGGGATTTAAATTCTCACTTCGAAGCATGGTCAGTGAGTGAGAAAGTTTCTGTGACTTCCTTCAAGTGCTCTTTTATGTCATGCAGTTTCAAGGCTAATGAAGCTGAAAATTAGAGGCAGAGGCAGAGCCTGAAGATTGATGAATCTCAAAATCGACTGAATTCACAGTCCTGCTATGACTTTCAGGCATTGATTGGGGAAAGGTGGTTCTTCCCCTGAGTACTGGAGTGGAAATATTTTGGAGGTGTTAGATAACCCCAAGAATCTGAAACCCCAGGACACACAGAGCCTCGTAGGCCAATCAAATGAGAACGGCGCTTCCTCCCATGAGGCTGGTCCTGTTTTATTTAGAGACCCTGTACGGAGCGCACTGAATGGTCACCTTGCAAGGGGATGTCCTCATGGCCCACCCCTTACTCTGCTCATGATCTGCAGATCCATAACTAGAGTCAGATTCTAGAATGTCCTGAAATCAAAACCAAACCTGGGAAGAGAAGACTTACATACCAAAAGAATAGCAAGATTATGAAGAGGTTCACACTTCTTGCTTGGCTGTCTAAACGTGAGTCTCAATAGTGGCCGGTGCAGAAGTCAGATGCCACACAATCCTTGATGTGCTATGGAAAAAGGAACCCAAAGCCTTAGGGAGATACGAATGTTGGTGTATTAGTCCATTTTCACGCTACTATAAAGATACTACCTGGAAACTGGGTAATTTATAAACAAAACAGGTTTAATTGACTCAGTTCCACGTGGCTGAAGAGGCCTCAGGAAACATATAATCATGGTGGAAAGCAAAGGGGAAACAGGCACTTTCTTCACAAAGCAGCGAGAGACAGCGAGCCCAGGGAAAACTGCCACTTTTTTTTTTCTTTTTTTCGGGGGGACGGAGTCTCGCTTTATCGCCAGACTGCAGTGCAGTGGCGTGATCTTGGCTCACTGCAACCTCCGCCTCCTGGGTTCAAGCGATTCTCCTGCCTCAGCTTCCCAAGTAGCTGGGATTACAGGCATCGGCCACCATGCCCAGCTAATTGTTTGTATTTTAGTAGAGATGGGGTTTCACCATGTTGGCCAGGATGGTCTCAATCTCCTGACCTTGTGATCCACCCGCCTCAGCCTCCCAAAGTACTGGGATTACAGGTGTGAGCCAGTGTGCCCGGCAAAACTGCCACTTTTAAACCATCAGATCTCCTGAGAACTCACTCACTATGACAAAAACAGCATGAGGGAAACTGCCTGCGTGATCCAATCATCTCCCACCACGTCCCTTCTTCCACATGTGGGGATTATAATTTGAGATGAGATTTGAATGGGGACACAGAGCCAAACCCTCAGTTGGAGTGGATTTATAATAGCTGCTCTACTCACCCACCTCCAGAAAAAACACACATTGGTGAGAGAGGAGTTGGCATTCTTGAAAAGCAGATAACCTCCGTAGGCCAGGGATGATGGTGAGAGATGCTTTGGTGGAAAGAGGTTTCCTGGAGGGGCAAACATCAGCTTTAACCTTCAGGGGCGAGCACGTCCCGATTCCTGAAAAAAAGCAGAAGACTTAGATGTGATTATCAAAAGGATGTGACTCTAAGGGATATTTGAGGGTGCTTAATAGATCCTAGGGCCTTTGGGGCTGAAATACATGGATGCTAAAGTCTGACCTAATTTGTGTAACAACAAAATCTAAGTCTGGGGAACAGAGGACTGACTAGTCATGATGATGGCGAGTCCAGTCCTTCACCCAGTGCCCAGGCCTGAGTCACTTTCCAAACCCAGAGCCCTTTGAATAGTAGGGAGACCAGATGCTCTCGAGGAACAACCCAGCAATGCCAGCACAGTCGTACTGAAGTGTTCCTCCTATCCTTTAAGGAAGGCACTTGGGACAATTTACCAGGGCAGTTGGACCCTGGGAAAAGGAACTCATAGACCTTTCGGGATGACTATCTTCTAACTAATGCTAATCCTGCAGGCCCCAAATGCCATCTGCGATTCTCTGGTAGGTGTACATAGAATTTTATGGTAATAGCTGATAGTGGGGTTTACTCATAGGGGGACTGTTCCCAGTGACCCCAGTGGGTCCTTGAACTCATAGTTTATATTTCCTTGTTCTTGAGTGCTTAGTTGTAATCAAAGTACCAGCAGAAAAGTCACACTGGCTCCCTGATCTGTGATGTGAATGTTATTACAGTTGGAAGTGTGAAGAGGAAGGCTCTGGAACTGTCCCTCCCTGCTGAAATAATAAACCAAATGCTTTGTGTCTATTAATTCATTGAATTTTCACAACAACCCTATGATGTAGGAAATATGATCATCCCCATTTACAGAGGAGGAAACTGAGGCACAGAGAAGTTAAGTAATTTGCCCACGTTTACATGGCTAGTAAGAGTGAATTCAAACCCAGTCAAATTTTAGAGTTCACACACCAAGCAAAAATCCTCAGTCAGGCTGGGCACAGTGGCTCATGCCTGTGATCCTAGCACTTTGGTAGGCCAAGGTAGGAGGACTGTTTGAGCCCAGGAGTTCAAGACCACTAGGGGCAACACAGTGAGACCCTGTCTGAAAAGATTTGAACGCTATCGAGCTATGACGCCCACTGCACTCCAGCCTACGGTACCCAGACAAGACTCTGTCTCAATAGAGAAAATAATAATTCAGTTGAATGCGAAGATGTATTGGGCGCGCATCTTTGTACTTGCTATTAATCCTGAAACAAGTTAGAAGTTTGGCCATGTGATGTGATAACATCTTGGTGACTTTAGAGCAGAGAGGAGCGGTATATGAAGATAAAAAGGCACGAGGGCGCAGGTCCACCTGTAAGGACTACAGAGCCAGGCACTGATATGGGAGACTCGCAGACGGAGCGGGATACCTATCACCATGATGTACGATGTGCAGAGTTATATGACGCGTGGAGGCTGGCCAAGCAACCATTGCACCGTCTCTAGCAAACATATGAGCGAGAAAGCCTGTAGAGTGATCGGCAGAGGTTTACCGGTATTTGCTCCATGCGTATCTCAGGCCTGTGGCTTAGTGAGCAACGAGAACGCTTGAAACCTCGTGAACAGGATCGTCTAGAGATGTTGCGGAGGGAGACTGAGAGAGTGATGAGCCATTGCAGCGTGTGCGCAAACCGGGTACAGATGAACCAGGTCGCAAAAAAAAGAAGAAGATAGAAATATTCAGAGCAACTGCTCAAAAGTAGGTACTCGAGAGCGAGATAAGTGAAGATAAGAGATGGAGAGCATCGACTAGCCTTGTATGTGCCGGACAGTGATCTTACATGAAAAGTCCAAGTGGTTCATTAATCCTTAGCTTTGATTGAATGACGAGTATATATCAGAGAGGCACTATTGGGAAGAGGATACCTAACGTCCCCACTTTTGTGAGACGATGATCTGAGTGGAAGAGGTGACAGCAGGAGCCCAACATGGAGAAGGTTGCGAGCAAATAGTGTTTTCGGAGACATGGATCTTCAGCATAATATGAATTCTGGTACTGACAGCAAGGTCTGGACTTCCAGACACAGAGTGATCTATTCCGGGAACCTTGAGTTCTTAGCCATTTATTATTTTTTCTGGGGGGCGGCGCGGGGGACGGAGCTCGCTCTGTTCGCCCATGCGGGTCCAGTACGAAGTTGGCCGTGGAGTCTTTCAAGGCTCATCTACGCCAACCCCGCTCTCGCCGTAGCAATCCTATGCCAAGTATGTGCGCGCCTGCCTAAGCCCTCCCGACTCTCGTAGGCTCGGGGACTACAGGACGCCCGCTCACCTGGGCTGCAGATGTCATAGGGTGTGTTTATGTACTGATGTGTCAGTCTGAGCGCCCAGCTCTAGTTTTTTGGAGTAGGGTAGCTAAGGACGGGGAGCGTGTAGCACCAACTATGTTAGTGCGTGAATTGGTCGATCGATCTGCGTACCAATATTGGACTTCTGGAGCTCGCTTGGGGTTCCTGTTCTCGTGCGCGGAAGACTCGCAACAGTGAGTATTTTGTACACTTTAATATTGGACGGTGTCCGGTGATGGGGGCTGGATGGATGTGGTGGAAGGATACCATTGGTTACTTCTTGCTGAGTGTGCTGTTCTTGTTTTAGGGTAGGAGATGAGTAAGGAGAGTGTTTCTTTGTTAGCTGGATCACTTTTGAGTGAACGGATGCTTTTTGTGCTTGTTTTGGTGTGGGTAGATGGTTTCTGGGTTGGTATGTGATCGCTGCTTACACTGCCAGATCGATCAGCCGATCGAGTTCTGTGATGTTGGATTCATAACGTGCAGGTGTTGCAGCATCTCGACGCGGGGGCTTCGCTTGAGCGAGTTACACAGGCGCTCACTGGCCAGGACCGCGCCGATCTCATCTATCGAATGTAGACTGCGTGCGTACGCATAGCAGTGGGAAAGTAGGCGACGTGATGTATCGAGTCGTGTACCGACTTGTGGCGAGCGAGAGCGACAACTGGTGCACAATGTGGAATAGTTGTATAGATCTGCGCTGCTTAGTCAGCCGCAGTCTGCTAGTTGCAGTGCATGGAATTGTAATGCTGGGACGCATAGTTATTTTTTTTTCTTGTTTTGATTTTTTTTCATTGCCTCTTTGCTGTATCTCTACAATACGTCTCAGTTTTAGTCGAGACTGGAGAGACTTTTTTTTGTTTTTATTGAATAAATTATATATTGCAGTCTTTAGAGAGTTCTATGTTTACTATGAGTGTTACTAGATCATATCAGATGTTGGTACAACTATCATCAAGGTGATCTTTCAGATCTATTCTATGCGCGATGCAGAAGTTCGTCGCCTTGCTAGACCATTGAATCACGCCAGTCATCACTGTACATTAGGTATATCCCCTAATGCCTGACCCCTCCCTCCCAACCCCACCGACAGCCCTGTGTGGATGTTTCCGCACCCTGGTCAAGTGTTTCATTTCTCAGTTCCATATGAGTGAGCACATGCAACGGTTTTTGTTTCTGTCCTTGTGACAGTTTGCTGGAGATAGGTTGCCTATCCATGCCTTACAAAACGACATGAACTCTCCTTTTTTATGGCTGCAGAGTATCCAGGTATGAGCATGCTACAATTTCCTGCAATCCAGTTTATCACTGATGGACATTTGGGTGGCTTCTTCCAAGTCTTTTGCTATCGTGAATAGTGCCACAGTAAACATACATGTGCATGTGCACTCTTCTCTATATAGTGCAACTCTTGGAGCTTCACATTCTCGGTACTCACTATTCAGCTCATCAGAAGTGGCGGGGTTGGAACTGGGTCACAGATGGGACTTCAGTATTCCGATGATTCTTGTGGGACGAGAGGCGTGCGCCCACTGCCGTCGCGAGCCAATTGTTGACACTAGGTGACAGTCACCCAGGTAAAGGAGGTGCTAGCCAGTTCCGCGACACGCGCGGCGCTGCACTCCGGGTCAGCAGTTTGTGTTCACTGAGCGTGTGGAGAGAGCGAGCGCGGAAGCTACAGCGTGGGTTGTGAGGGTTCGCAGTATCGGGCAGGTTTTGATTTGCCAAAATTCTCTCTGATGGGCCGAGCGAAGTGAACTAGGATATGGTCATGTCGTGTGCGTGCGATGATATGGATCAGGACTATTGAGAGAGGTTGCATGATTCAGTGATGCGCGGTATCGCCGCTACTTGTATGTCGATAGAGGTATCGTGATCCCATTGCCTTGCCTTTCGTAGAGAGGAGGCAGTTGAGTGCTTCTTGTAACTGATAGGATCTCAGCCATATAGCTTGTCACTGATGAAGGAAGTTAATTTTCGAGAACACGCTATCTGGAGGTACCATAAGGGTTCTCTAGTAAGTGGAGATATGCCTGTTCCACATTAAAGGAGGGCGTGTATTCGGCCCTGCTAGTGCTGCGTCACGAAGCCTGAGGATAGAGAGGGATACATCATTGGGATGAAGCTGCACTGTGGGAAGGGGCGATGGCGGGTGTCCCTGGCAATTGTTTATATAGGGTCGCAGTGGTGCATTGACAGGTTGTCTGGCGCCAAATTGGTGGGTTAGACATTGAACGTTGCGCTGCATATGTGCCCTCGATGTCTCTGCTACCTTGGTACATCTGAATCTGGCCTTGATTCCACTTAGGGTTTTGCTGTTTCGAGGTTTTCGTACTGGGTTGTACATCTGATATTAAGTCTTTAATTTATCTCAAATTAATTTTGACTGAAGACTTTTTTTTTCTGGAGACAATGCCTCCCTTTCTGTCCCCAGGCGGAGTGCAGTGGCACAATTATAACTTACTGCAGCCTTGACCTCCTGGTTCAGGTGATCCTCCTGCCTCAGCCTCCTGAGTAGCTGGGACTACGGGCGTGCACCACCATGCCCAGCTAATTTTTTTTTTTTTCTTTTGCAG